TACCCTGCGTTCTCCTGCATTGTGAAACTGCAGCCAGCAAAACAGCCAGCTTTTCATTAGACAGTTACGTGTAAGGGTGTTAAAGTACGCGTTTGGCAAACCAAAACCATGCCTTCCACGGCACCATTCATAAAGAATGTGGTTTGGGGTTGAGTTTTGGGGTTTTTTCTAACTCAAATAGGTCCTGGATATTTCTAGCTTTCAGGTCCGGTGCATGTAGCACCTTTCATAGCTGAAACTGGGTCTGTGTGCACACGCTCAAAGGATGCTTTGTAGCCCTGTTCCTTTGCTTGGCTGCATGCCTAGGGAATACACTTTACACCATGCACAGAGCTAGCAAGTGATACATAAACGTGACAGCTCAATATTGTACTGAAGGGTTTATGAAATTTTACTGAAGGTTTTACCTGTTACTGCCAGTTTCCCTTTGGCCAAGCATTGCTGTTCCACGCAAGTACAACTGCGTGCCTGACTGCCCCAGGAAATACAGTAAACGCAGCATATTCCAATAAATCATTCTCTGGAATGATTTCTTACTCTACAGCTAAACTATAAAGATTATAAAATACCCAGTCTGCTGTTCTGATTCATTCTGTCATTCAGCAGCAAAGGAAGAACCGAAAGTATTTGGAACTCATCTCTCCCTCATGTATTAACTTCCTTTCCTAAAGTAAATTTCATTATGTGTTCTCTATATTGCTGTTTGTAACTTCCCTGCTTGTCTTTATTCCTTGCTACAAATCTCTTTCATGTGCAAGCTTCATTAACATGCTTCACACCCTCTCCTAAAATAATTTCATTATTTTTAAATAAAACAGGCCTTTGTTATTGAAGGTCCCCTCTCAGTTTCCAAAATAATGGCTGGGAATCATCCAGCTGCAATTATGCTCTACCTACCTAAATTCTCTTTGTAGTTTTAATTAAAATACATCACCCAGCATGATTTCACCTCCTATTTTAAGTTCTTGTACAGCACTGGTTAAGGATAAAAAGTTATCTCTGTGAAGAAATTACCCCTTTTTGTGGGCTTAAATAGGTTGAATAAATACTTTTGTTTTACCTTAGCATGCAATGGTGGACTTCTTTAATCTCTAAAGCTTCCTTTAAAATAAGATATGTTGTCTTACAGGTTTACATTGGGAAACTTGGAGTACTATATCGCTGGGAAATGTTCCTACTACAGTTAAGAAATGTCAAGGGAATGCAAGTCACAGATAGATGAATGCCCTTGGACAATGACAGAAGAATCAGAAGCATGGTGTGAACACGTCAGATTTTCCACAGTAGCTAAGCAGCTGATAAGTACCATAAGAAATCAGAATCAGAGGAGAGGCACAGAACATCTCCAGCATGATTAGGCATATTTATTAATAAATGACACTGACATACTAGCTAAGTATATTTTTGGCAGACATTGAACACTGGGAAATTTTCTTTTGAATAAAATTTGGATTTATTTTTTAAAGGTTCTCTTCTACCCCAAAAGTTTTTCAAGGAGACTTGAGCATCAAAGAGAGGTTTTAACCTGCTTATTGGAGTTACTAGTACTGATTTTGCTATCTCATCTCTTTAGGTGTTCATTGAAATCCGTATCTAGTCCTTTCAAGAAGTCTCAGAAAATAGACCTGATGTACCCAGTTACTCAGGTAATTCCAAAAGTTAAGTTTAATCAGAAGAGAGCATCTAACCACAGAGAACCTGTACAAGCAAAACCAGAAACTATCCTCTGCTTTACAAGAGCCTTGAAGAGAACTGATATCTTCATCACAGATTTCAGATGAGTGATACCTGAAAAACAGTCATGTTACCAACCTGCACTCAAGGTCACCACCTTATTGCAGGACTCAGGGCAGTTATTTCATGCAGCTCCAAGTAATAATCCAAAAGTTAAAGCCTTGTATTAATATTGTTCTTCCCCAAGTTCCTGTATACAGGAATTGTTCTGCTGAAACAGTGTTATTAAGGCATCCCCTAAAAGTCTGTGGAACCAAAAAAAGCACAACCTGGTGCACAACTGATCCATGAACTCCAAAGTTCTGTTCATGTACTTTGAAAATCATTTAGTTATTTATGCCCCAAGATATTTCTGTATATTAGAAAGCTGAATCCCATTTAAACCCTTTTCCTGTAATTGTTTTACTCTTGTAACTACACAAACCACTGCAGAGTTGTTGCATGTGCGTTGCTCAGTTTATAACCACCAGAAAGTGAAGCTGGTTACATCCATTTGCACAAAACTGGAGCTCTATTATGGATGGAAGACATCTGAAATTGAAATTGGAGTGGTTTTCATGTGCTAATGTATTTAAATGAAATAGACACCCTCATGTCTAGGATCAATCATTTATTGAGCTTTCTTACATTTTGCAGTTTGTTACAGGAGAGGAAACACTTGCTGATGAAAGTGACATGGTTTGTAACCGTTTTCCAAGGTAATGGAAAAAGTTAAGCAGATTCCCTAGGATGCACATTGATGACTAAGCTGCCAATATTAAATCATTTTAGGCAAGTGTACTCCCTATTTTATCCTTGTATAAATTAATTTCAGTACTCCCCTTCTCCTACAGGAAGACTAAATTGTAGCATCTAATTTTCTTTATCCTGAAGTCTCAATCTTGGCTCTCACTACTTACCTAGCTGCAAACAAGTCAGGCAGACTAGTTACTGAAGCCAAAGCCACAGAAGTGGGTTTGGTGCCAAGGTTCTTTTCTGGCAACCTACTCAGTTTCCTACTGTCCCAAAAGGAAACAAAAGACTCCCAGTTTTCTGAAAACCAGATTCTCTGCATAACAGTGCATTGCATTGCCTCGAAACGGGCCACAGTGGATGTTCTTATAGGAAACAAATCAGGTAACTAACAAGATACAAAGAATTATAAATGAACTGGGTAAAAATGTTCCTCACATTTTTTCCCCAGTAGTATATTAACTAGAATCCTACTTTCCTTCCACAAAAAATATATTTTTTATAAATACATTTTAATACAGACACCTCTGATTCTATGCAAAAAAAAGTCAATGTCACATTCAAACAGGTTTTCTCAGTGTAGCATTAAGACACAAGCAGACATCACAGCAGGCATTAACACAGTGATTCTAGGGAGGCAGTTAACTACAGCTTGTGAACAGATACAAAAACACACAATTTCACCTGCTTTGTCAGGCTGTGATTTAGAAAACAACCAAGCTACAGCTTGAGGCCTAGAGTACCACACTCTCCATCTTTAGAAAATGATATGAGCTGTCAGTGAGATTTAACATCTGATTAATATTAAAACATTTGTATAAACTTAGTGCTTATGCGGGGGGGTATGGAAAAGAACTGCTAAAGGGCATTACCAGATACCTCAAACTCAAGAGAAAAAGCATTACACATTCACCATGGCCTTAAAGCTCGTGGTTCCATTTAGATGAAATTCATTCTTCTTCTGCCCTTGTCCCTCTCCCTTATTGTTTCCCCAAGGTAACTTTAACCACTGGAGTCAACACAGGCAAACCTATTGAGCGTTTGTGTGATACATACAGTCCTAGATGCTGTCCCTGGCCTCCCTAAGGGATAGCAATAATCTCTAGTTTAATTTCTAGCCAGATCTAATTAAAATAGAGCTGTTAATCGTATTTTTTTCAGGTTATGAATAACAAACAGAACAGTTTGTTGGGTTTCTTACCTTAAATAGGCCCTAAATCATCTTTGCATGAATAAGGGTTCCCTTTAATTTTTGTCATGAAGACTGGAATTTAGTTTTTATGGCTCAACATGTAGCACTATTTCTCAATAAACTCTAATAGACTGTTTGCTCAAAATGAAGGCGTTTGGAACTTGGTAGCCTGCAATATTTCACACACAGCCAAGCTACTCTGCTCTAAAAGAAGACACAGAGAGAGACTATGAGCATGGCAGTTGATCACAAGTGTATGGTGCTTTTCTTTAAAACCCCTGAAGTTCACAGGAACCTAAAATTGAGAAAGCAGAAGAATGTGTCAAGTTATAATTTCCTTGTCTCAGAAAAATTATGTCACTGTTAGCACTCACAGAGACTTACTTTCTTTTTCCAAGATTGACTCATAAAGTACACGTCTAATCCTGTCTTATGACAGGAAACAGCAACTCGTTATTAGCAGATAATCTTGGTTAGCTCTTAAGATGTTTTCTTTCACTTTCAGAAAGGCAGATCCCGAATTCTCTGACTGCTTTGTTAAAACAGAGCCATGGTGCTAATTAAAATAGTCATTTTAAATACTAAGAATTCTCTTTCCAGAGCCAATATATGGTGATTTTGGAGAGCCAATATATGGTGATTTTGGAGATGAACTTCCAAAGTAAACCCAGTAATGATTCATATTAAAATACAAAGTAATAACTAGTCCAGGAGATTAACAAAATCTCCTTTGAACAATGCTGTTAAGATTGATTTTCAACTGGTTTATAATAAAAATCAGCTGCCAATTCAAGGGGGGGAAAAAATGTGGGTTTCATTCTGCAACTGACCTGAGAGCTCTCAGCTCCCTTTCAGATGGAAGTTGCTGTTCAGTGCTGTACAAATCACAGCCTTTAACATTAAATATTGCATATAGTTTAAATGCAAAACAAGGACAGAAGTGGCATTAAAACAGCAACTGCATTGCACAAGTCTTTGAAGAAACACTCTTCTAGTGCTGTTTATGTACACAATACAATGTCTCTTGTCAACCCTACACATTATACTGCTGCATAAGCAAGGAGGAAGGAATGGCACCTTTCCCTTGGACAGTGATTCCCACATGTTTGTAAACATGGGTGTAGGTGACCTTAAAAAGATGCTAACAAAGTGTTTCTATGTGAAACAGAGAAATTAACAGTGGCAACTGTTGCAGTAGAATAAATTAAAAAGCACCTTCATTACACTCCCCACAGACATTTTTGTCATTTGCTGTGGTTTAAGAATCTGGACCTGTTATTTGCAGCGAACTGTAGGGACTTTTTAAAACAAAGTAAAATTCTTCAAACTGAAAAGCTAAAGCTAAAATAGGTAGAAATTTATTTCATTGAAAATGTCTGATATTTGTTCCTGGTTTAGAGTATTCCTAGTAATAGAAGACAACAAATTCACTCAATAAAATATTTCCTATCAGATTCACACTGAATTCTCTGTTGGCCTGAAATTATTACCCATGGAACCTGAATTATCAGAACAGCAGAATCCAGGAGAGCAGCAGCAGGTAGTTAAGCCTCTTAACCTCAAACCTACCACAAAATGCAGAGTGTCAAGAAGTCCATTCAGCAACATACTGCGCTATTGGGAACACGATAACTTACTCTAGGTTCATTTTTAAAGGGGTACATCTACCACTGTTGATCACAGTAATACTTTTATGGAATTGCTTTTGGTTTTGAAGTCCAAAGTCTTAAAAGGAGGTAGCATAAAAAAGGAGATGACTCCCTCAGATCAGCTGTACAGAGAGGAAACTCAGTACAATAACCCAAGAATCTGCACCAAAGTACAACTGCTCTCACCAAAAATATACCAAGATTTATATTTCTGTTTAAAACATCCATACATTTGAAAAACCAAACGTATGACTGGCAATCTGGGGCAAGCACCATTGCTAGACAGCTTTGAAAATCTTATGCACAGAAATGATTCTGACAAACAACAGGTGAGAGTTGAAAGATACCCCAAAAACACTCCTATGGGGTGCTAGTTGTAAACACACGAGCTGCCTTGTCTTCAAATCAGTGTATTTTCTCCTTCAGGAATTGGAACAAAATTCATAAATACTTAAACTTGCAGAATGTCATTAAATACATAGTTAGTTTAACAGCCCTGATGCAAAAAACAGTGGGCTGGGGGAAAGACCTAGACTTTTGGAAGCCATTCTCATCTTTAGTAATTATTGTGCTGTAAAACTTACTGATCAGGAGTTCAAAGCATCATACAAATAACAAGGAAATTCTTTTACTCTCAGATAAGCTGTAGGCTAATGCATGATTTAATATACTAGAAACAAAAGCTAGTAATAAATACAAGTCTTGCTGTACTAATTACAAGATAATAGTTGAGTAAAATTAGTGAACTTTATGTACTTTCTTAGCTATGAATCTTAAAAAAAACCCTGTGCTGTACCCTAAACTCACTGCTTTTCCTTTAGAAAACTGGATCTTCTCTCAGAAGTAAAGAAAGCCAAGCCAAATACAAATGGTAACACATTTAATAGTGACCACAAGCCCAGATAGAGCGCAAACCCCTCCCTGCTCTTAGGCAGATAGCTACAGTTGGAACCGTTTGCAGTTCCAATCAGCTGTGACTAGAAAGATGTTTCATCACGACTGGAAATGGTATTTTATAAAAATCATTACAATCACACCTATCTGAGGCTAACATAGAATGTTCCACTTCAACTCACAGAATTAGACATGGAGACATCAAGTATTTATAGAAATATCTACAAACTGCAACTGCCTTTTACTGGTTTAAAGTATCAGTGAACTGAACTTTAGAGTAAGGGTTTCATGACAGCAGGCTATCCCCCACAGCCTTCTCAGCTTTTGCTTTGCGTACACTAATTTACTCCTTTGATGCTGCTGCTTCTTTGCATTTCTAAGAAGCACATGCTGAGAAATTTGGGAATAAATGGTCTTGAACTTCTTAGAGTTTGAAAAGAGAGCTCTTACTCAATTTTTGCTGCATATAAAGTCCTACATTATAAGCTTACTGTTACACTAGACTTAATGCTAAGACAGTGAGTCTGACATTATTAGACTTACTGGTTCACCTGCATTAATACCCAATGCAAAACATTGTTAACAAAGGAAAAACACTGTCATTAACATTCTTCAAATTCAGATACAAATGGAAAACTGGAAATTCCAGCACTCTCCAACTGCCCTAGACGAATGAAAGCATTGCTCTAACAAGCAGTGCTGAAGCCCTTGTCTTAGTATTGAGCAGAGATGAAAGAAAATAGACATGGAAAACACATAGCACAAATAGGCTGCATGTTAGCTATGTAAAAACGTTAAATAAAGCTAAAATCCGTCCAATTTTCTGATTATTCTGCAATGAGTTTTCAAAAACTGAAATTAGTGGAAAATGCTTATGGAAGTTAAAAACCCTCAAGGCTATTTTTGCCTTCATCTGAAATGTAAAAGGACAGTACCTGGTTTAAAACAGTTCTGTCACTGAACTATCAGTCTTCACTGCGAGTTTTGGTGTCTCTGCCATTAAACAGAATATTACCAGAAGGACCAAAACTAAAGGATGAAATACCATTTTTTGAGAACTAATCTAAAGATGAAACTTGCTTTTGTAAGATGTTACACTTGACATTTTCAATGGGGTGTACAACTGACCCAGAGAAACAAATCAACAGGACTCTGCATTTGCATCCACTCCACTCAGGTGGTTTCTCAGATCACATTCTTTATGAAAGCAACCACGTCCTAACAGATATTTGAGGGCAAGAACACAAATCCACAGAATTAGGGCAAAATCCCTCAGGTCCCACAAGCCCATTTGCAGAGCAGACACTGAAAGAACTTAGGGAAGTGGTATCCAAAGACCATTTAGAACCGCTTAAAGTTCTGAAGAACTGGGTCTGCTTCAAAGCTCAAAAAAAGATGAGACTGGCAAATTTAGTCATGAAACTCCTACTGTGGCAAAGAGTCCTTGGGTTGTGGATCCTTGTCCAGCTGACGTTGTAGGCAACGGAACTGGAGGTGTTTCTATCCCTGACGGCTTCGATAGGAAGGGGAAGGCCAGCGCGGGTTGGCTGCCCATCCTGTGCTCAAGGTCCTCCACTGTATGAATAATCTGCCTTGTTGTGCATCACAAGCTTGTTGTCTACAAAGTAGAAACTGTCCGACTGTGTCTCATATGGATGCAGGATCATCTCTCGAACTGCAGGGGGGGGAAATAAAAGAATACATATAAATCAATCATGTTCCACAGAAGCCTCACTGAGGGCAACATCCTGCAAGGGGTTTCATTACATTTAATAGCACTGCTGAGATCGCAGCAAACACTCAAAACCAAACTAGGAACCTACCAAACCATTCACTGACGTTCATCTTTTAAATAACTCAAACACAATCAAAGTATATTAAGGCACCATACAAATTGTATGTGCTTTACCTAACCCCAAAACAGTAACACTGGAGTCTGCACTGAGGATTTGCTTTTGCTTTTCAATGGCAACTCAAAAGAAATTGGTTCAGGTGTTACAACAAGCAAGCAGCAGGGCATTGCTGTTTTCTCCACAGACTGCAATATTAGTGCTGACATAAGTGATTAGGGGTCATAAAGAGCATAATATCACACAGGTTTAGTACCGCTGCTGAGAGGTAGAGAGGAAGACAAAATAAAAGTTATGTTCCTACTAAAACCTCTCAAGCTGTCAATGCAGCACATCAAACATTAAACCAGAACATAATGTTTAAGGTATCCATTCATTGAATGTCTTTTTAATCCTCTTTTTCTTGGTTGTTTTATAACACAATTATCTTTTTTACTCCCTGACACTGAAGCCTCCCAGCAACTGTCTGGTGGGTGAGGAGATACATGCTGCTAGAAGACAAAACCTGTATTAACACAGATGCAAAAGCACCTGGAAGTCTTCTTCCTACCCACTTTCTACAGCCAGCTTTTAGGAAAGGGCTTGCTCAAAACGCTGCGATTAGCATCACTGTGTGGTCACCCAGTAATGAAAGAGCTTACTGAGATCCTCGGAGAGCTGTGGGAACTCATAGATGTGCTCACAAGTGTTTTTACTGCTGGGGATGCAGAACCCAAATTCAAAATCAAAGCTCTTAAGCAACTGATCCCGGAAGTAGTGCCTCTCAATCATGCGGAAGTTATTAATGGGTTTGTCTCCTACTGTGAACTCCACCCTGAAAAAGAAGAAGATTGCAGTGAGCTTTCTCACTTAAGCCAGATTTGGAACCATTGCTGAAAGGTAGAAGAGAGCTCCTCTAAAACAAACAGCAGCCAAAAACATAAAGCAATGGTACGAACCAAACCATCATCATCTCTTAAAGCTACACGGGCACAACAGAGCATTGCAAATCACAGGTTATACCATAGTTTGATTCCTCTCACTCAAAAGAGATGCAAATTTTACAATTAAACTCATTTTCAGTGAGGGAAAGATCCCTCCAGCTACACTGTAGGCACTTCACTACCATTCACTACCAGTTCCTTATCGCCGTGGGGTTTTATACATCTTATCTGGGCGGGCATTAAAAAAAAAGCCAAATCTCCATGGTGTGTTTCATTGATGGATGCAAGCGGTAGTACCAGCCACAAAGATCATTTGAGTACATAAAACATTAAACATCACCATTTCATGTGCATCTATGGATTAATGGTTCTTTGGGAATGCAATGGGGAAGGCTGCAGAACATCTTCCAAAGCTGGCAGAGCCTCTGACAAACTATAATGCACAGAAAAGCACTGGAATGTCTGGTAGTCTGCCCACCTTATTTTGCGCCTTTGAGCATGAATCTCTTCAACACCATTCCTATTCCAGAGGTAAATAAACAAGCTAAAGGGATGGAGAAAGCAAAGCACCCAGCAAAGAGGCTTGGAAATCCTCCTAAAGACACAAGGTCCCCATTAAATCAACTTCCTGACAGGATCAACAAGCCAGAGCCATTTTTTAATAGGATTTCGGTTGTTTCCTGTGCTAGAAAATGCAGCCCAGGAGCAATTACTTACGTGGCTCCCACTTGCCGAAGTCTGAGAAAAGCTGGAGTAAACTGATAGCGAACGAACCGTCCAGCATTGGGATCTATGTCCTTCCTGTCATTGTGTTCACGTTCTGGAAAAGCACAAAGGCAAGTCTGAGAAACAGAAACCCAGTGAAAATGCCTGCAGTCACACGTTATTGAGTCATAAAAGCCAGGAAGCTCTTCTGAGGAAGCCTGATCCTCTTGAAGGCACCAACTGCTGGTTACTCCGAGACAGAGGATGGCCCTTTGGTTTGATGCATTTCTTATGTTCTAAAGTGACTTACTGCTCCCACCTCTGATTCGGGACTGCAGTATGACACTGAACAAGCCATTTCACCTTAGCACGTCTGGTTTGCTAGCTACAAGCTACAGAGAACTTCCAGAAACCTTCTTAGAAGAGTGCTTGATCGGGAAAAGAATGGTTGCTCTGGGGTTTTATTACCACTGGCAATAGGTAACACTTTGATGGTTAGAAATAATACTGAAAAACTATGAAAAAGGGGAAAACAAAAAAAAAAAAAAGGAAAACTTTTCAGTTTGTCTAATTTGCACAACTGATATTTTCCCTTTTGGAAATATTGTTTTCCTGAGGGAAAGATGTTAAACTATGTACAGGGAGACTCAAGCTGATGAACAAGCATGAAACAAACACACAGTGACCTCCTCCTCCTCCTCTGTCTCTGTTTACAACACCCATCTGTCCCTTCTCATCACAGATGGCAATCATGACTACAGCAGCAATGAGCTCTGTTCACTGTGTTGGTACAAAGGGACACCTGAATAATACTTCTGGTGCAAGCTGGGCCTCTAGCCCTCTTGCAGCTGAGAGCATCTCCTATTTTGGGGCAATGTATGGAGGAAAATGAGTAGGAAAAGGCAAAAGGAAGCAGACACTAGCACTGGTTTGGCCATGAAGATATGTGTGTGTGCACTCACCTGAAGCTGCTGGTTTGGTGATTTCAAACAAGACTGTGCCAGATTCCATGTCCCGGATTTTGAACCTGGTGAAGTCTATCTTGTAAACATTTTCCTCTGGAGTGCACAAATAATCTGCAGAGGAAACGAAATATAAATGAAGGTTGCCCACAATTACCAAGGTATTTCTGGCTATTCTTTAAAGGCCACAGCCAGCAGTGAGAGCAGCCCAAAGGCATCTCCGCTACTCCTGTTTGCAATGCAGAAGTGATGTCTATGAAGACAGTCTCAGGTCTGAATGCTCACACCACCCTGCTTGGACAGGACAGGGAGGTCATCACCTTTTCCCAACCCTGTGCCAGCACCTTCTGCATCCGTTTCTCCTCGGGGCATTGAGAATAGTCAGCACCTCCATCAAATCCTACCCTTTTCTGTGTAAGAGGCTTTGTCTGGTTTAAAAACTGCCCTCTGGCAGAACACGAGTGCTAAGCAGATTTGTGAGCACTAAGCTGCACTTAACTGGAACAGGAGTGTCCTCCCTTGTGCCACCTTCCCTATCTCCAGCCCTCCGTAGACAAAGGATGGCCTCTTCTCTCCACTGATGCTTGTCCCAGGCAAGGATTTTATTTCCTCAGTACTGAAAATGGTGTCGAAGCTTTTCCCTGTAGTAGGAAAACAGTCTGGGAACAGAGCCCTTCCCTGCTTCCATCAGAGTTGGTACCTCTGGGAGAAAGACACTGTTTGTGGCTTCAGCCTTGCTGTGCCCTGAGACGGCTTCCTGATCAGGGTACCAGCCTCCCCTCTGGGTAAAGAGCAGTGGATTCATTTTCACTGCACATACAAGCACAGAAAGCAGCTCCAGTAACTTCCTTTATCCTAAATAAATGCATTTAAATGTATGGATACAAGCCAGGTTAGCTTTTGACCAGCATGTTGCAGGAGACTTGAAGGTTCTAAGGTGAAAGTAATGCTTCAACATTCTAATTCTAAAGCCTTTCTCAGCTACTAATTCCTGCTGCTAGTCTGAGTTAATCACTTACTCCTATCTGCTTTCCTGTTCCTAAAATTCAAATACACCCATCCACTTAAGGCTTATTCATTGACCATCTGAAAACAAAGTGTGATCTGTTACTGAGAGATCACACCTAACCCATCACAACCCTTACTTAGGTATCATGGCTGGGGGTTACTGCTCAAGGGCAGTGGTTAGCACATCCCATAGATAAGGAGTTCATAAAAGATTGCTGTGGTGTAGTAAGAGAAGATCCTAAAGGGCACACATTACAAGTACCAGACAGTGAGGCCCTCATGCTGGGATGCGTAATTACAGCAATCAGGTCCCTCTGTAGGGAGAGACAAAGATAGCTGTAGTCAGCACTGGGGAAGATTGCTCCTAGCATGAACTGCACATCCAGCACCTCTGCTTTCCTAGAAGCATTTTATTCTTTGCAAATCTCCTTAACTCTGCTTGGAGAACACTCCAAGTGCTCATCAGTACAAGGGACAGAGGTGTTAAATGTACTCTCTGGACATGTTTATTGCTCTCCATCATCACCACCATCGGGTGAACACTCAAAGGTTTCGCCTTTAAGGGAGAGGACTGTGTTCAAAGCATCTCTGGCATTTGGCAGGGAGGTTTCCCTTTCCTGTCAACACAGCACAAAGGGAAACTAACACCAGTACCCAAGCTGACAGGGAGAGCAAGATAAAAGCTCAACCTTCTCACTACCACAAGAAAGCACTAATGATAGACAAAACAGCCTAAAAACAGCACAAAATCCTCCCTTTAACAGTAGAGGAGGCAATGGGATAGAAATCTAAATCAACCCATTGCCTTAAGCCCTGAGGTTCAGCAATGCTCAGGTAGATGTCCTGTAACTACACAATGACTTCAGGTTCTAACTCATCACCCAGCCCAAATCCTTCACCCATCCCACAGCTTCCCCTGCTCCAAACAGCAAAGCACAAACTGGCAGAAGCAGGAGCAGCTTCCCATGGCCTCAGCTTGGCTTCCCTTGGCCCACGACCACACTTAGACCAGTGAGGGGCTGAACCAGAGCCTGGTTCAGTCACCCGGGAGCCTGGGACACCTTCTCTCCAGCACACAGGCAAGTCTGAGGCTGCGTTTGAATGCAAGTTAATTATTAAGTGGTTTTACTCCTGCAGAATTCCTGCCCATCCAGCACCATGGCAACAGCTTTATCCCCCTGCTTGGCAGCAGCGTTGCTGCAGTAACAGTGTCCATGACTCATCTGGAGGAGAGGAGAGCCAAGCAGAGCCACCAAAGAGGACTCAGCCCTGGGCACAAGCCCCACCAGACTCCTGCTCATTGGTGTTTTCACCCCAACTCTTTTTTTTGTGCACTGAAAATATTTTAAACCTGAATATTTTAAACCTATTTTGGGGTTTAAGTCAACATGCCAGTGTCAAACTGGATGACATCTGGGAAGATCAGCTGCCAGAATACTGCAATCAAGTGGTTTTCCTCTTCTGGCAGTGCCCAGACTCCTAGCAGGAAAAACAAAGATATATATATATATATAGGTATATATATATTCCTTTCTGTCTGTATTACATTTCTTTGGTGCAATTCCTGTTCAAAAATCAAAGTAGCCACATGCTGGGTTTCCCCCCCCCCACCAATACATTACAGAATCCCACAGCTACACTGGAAGGTGTGACTGGGAACAGGCTGCTTGCAATTGCTGGGTACTTCTGCTTTGCTGAGCACTGTCAAATTTGCTAATCTCATCCCAAACAGACTTATTTTTAACCTCCTGTAGGGCCCAGTTGCCCACACTTCCGTGACGCATTTAAATGCATCATGTGCTTTCATTATCCTAATTCACCGTCACCACAATTTGGGATGCAGAGACAGCATCCATGCCTATTTTAGTTAGACAGCTCAAACCTCCACTGAGAGAAGGGGATCATGGCAAGGAAAGTAGGCTTGGTCTCTGAGGACAGAACGTTTCCTTGTTCCATTTCTCCTCCCGAAGCAGATTTCCCCATTAAGAACCAAATAATGACAGTATCTCCCCGAACAAGCCTTCAGTGCTCTCCTCATTCAGGCCCCATAGAGAGCACAGTGTGAACAATGAATAAACGGGTGGACATATTAGCACAGTCTGAGGAAACCCAAGAGATTGGCTTTTGCCCTGAAGTACCCACATTAGTGCAAAACCAGGTCACAAGAGAGGAGCATTTCCTACTCCTTCCTAAAGCCAGGTGAATTCCCACATCCCTAAACTTCCTGGAAAACGTTTCCCAACTGAGTTGAACTTGTTTTCACAGCAAACTCCTGCAACCGGCCCAACCCTGCTATTAGCAGCTGCTTCTCACATCACACATTCCTGCTGGTGCCTCTGCAGCTTCATTCCCCTATCTTGGTATCCCACCCCAAGATCTGCATCTCTTCACCATTAGAGACATTCTCTATCTGAAGACCTATCATGGTTTTGAAGAGTTTGGAAGAACAGTTAGCATCACTGTGGTGGTCTCAGGAAGCAGCAGAGGCGACTGTGAAAATTCCTTCAGGAATCTCCTATTCCAAAACAACCCCCAAACAGCAATCCATAGCAAGGCGTTCATTCAGAGATCTCTAGCTTTGCCATCAGAAACAATGGATGCTCATTCCCTGTTTACAGTCCCAGAGAAGAGCCGGTTCTCCTCCAGGAAACCTTCCTCCCCTCCCCAAACCAGCCAAGATTGCAACAGAAACCAGCCAAACAGCCTTAGACAATGAGAGCAGGCCCAGGCTATTCTCTTGCAAACAATGGTACACTGTGAACCCTGGTGTGTATTTCCAGCCAGTGTGTTTTAGCAAGATGGTGTTACCAAAGAGCACAAAAGGTGAGGGATAATACGGTGCTAGATAATACAGGATGACAGCTAAGGAAGGCACTTTCTCCTCTTACCCTCTACCTGTTATTTCAGTTATCCACTGGATGAGATTAGGTGTTTGATCCTCATCAGAGAAAGCTAAAAGTTCATCCTCTATTTTCAGATTTCCATCACAACCACCCAACAGACACATTTTATCATGAGGAGTTCATGGGCAATAGGGTCAGCATTTTCCTTTCCAGATCCCTTCTCATTCTCTGCCACCAGGACAAAGCACGTGTCCCCTCTCACAGCCACTACAGATATTTCTGCAGTGCTCATCAGAGTGCACAAGCTCAGATTGGGTTCCTATTTTAAGGCTTTAACAGCCCACAGATACAAAAAGAGTGTACCTAGGGTAAGGCAGCACTCAAAATCCAGTTAGGAAAAATGGGTGCAAGTCATAAGGATGCTGTAGAAGAAACTGATGCAACAGCAGTGGTGTGCAATAGGCACGTCTCTCCCCACCACAAGCAATAACAAGAATGTGGGGAATGAGAAGGCTCCTGCAGCTATGCAGGCCTCTTTCTTAACGCGCATTAGCCAACAAGGTCAGGAGCTCTTTTGAAGACAACTCCCAAGACATAAGCCAGGTATAAAGCAAAGACAAGTGGAGCTGAATCGCCAGGAGCTGGAGATTAGCAGATTATCAGATTGAAGAGTCTCAGAAGGAAGCAAAAATAGCAGGAACCCCATGAAGATGCAGAGCGGTGACGCAGGACCGAGTGCAAGACCCCGAGGGGAAGGCAGGGCACGTTTCAAGCAGTGCTGATAGGTCTGCTTAGACAAGCAGGGTTCAATCACTGAAATATCCAAACCATTTCCCTTGCCCTCTGTCTCAGCAGTTCAAGGCCCATAAAGGCAGAAGAACAAGCTAAGCCAGTCAGGATCCACTCCAGCCCTAAAGCCATTGGGTTTGCATAAGCAAAGACTGGGGGTAAGCAGGGAGGGAGGTACCTACAGCCCTCCTGCTTATCTCAGTAATAAGCCTGCTTTGAAAATCTCACACTAGGAGGATCCCATGGGATATTTTCCTACAGCACCACATTCCCTGACCAACACTGGGGATGGAGCAGAGGGATGCAGCCCAGAGGCTCTGAGCTGGGGCATTTACCAAGGTCCCTATAGCCCATAAAATGCATCCAGCTGGCAGCACTCTATGCACTGAGTCCTGCTGCACAGCTCAACAGCTCTGCTTTTTGTGGCAGCCTGCTCTTTTTTTTTCCCCATCTTTTTTTAGCTAAAGCTTTCCAGATTTCACCCTCTCACCATTCATTTGATCACAGCCCTCCAGGCCTGGCTGAGGAAGGATGGAGCCGCTCTTCTCCCATTCCCAAGGCAACCAAACACCCTTTCCTGCCCCCTTGTTCGTGCTGATTGAACTCAAAGTCTGAAACCATGTGCACAACATTAACAAAATCAACTCCCCTTGCTCTTACAGAGGGCAATCAGGCCCCAGGCTGACTACTCTGGTGTATGCCACAGCTTCCCTCTTATAGAGTCATGGAATGGTTTGGGTTGGAAGGGACCTTAGAGCTCATCCAGTCCCAACCCCCTGCCACAGACAGGGACACCTTCCATTAGACCAGGCTGCTCCAAGCCCCATCCAACCTAGAGTTTATCAGGGAACTTCCACTTGAGCTCTTCACTGTTTCCACCAGGAATGGCCCAAACCCCCAGCACTGGCAGGAGGAGGAACCCACTGTGCTACACTCACACCCCATGTGTGCAGCCCCTGGAGGTCTTCACAGCCTGTATTGTGCTGTGAGACTACTAAAGAAACAGCCCTACATCTACACAACACTTTGAGCTGCGTGCTATCACAAAGCCTTGAAAGGCTTCCCGACATATGGGGTGTTGCTGGGGAAAGGAGGCATGGCAAGAGCAGCTTGATGCAGCTCTGTGAGCAGAAATCAACACAGCAACAGGCTTTAACTCATCACAGCCAACTCAGAACAGTGCTTCAGACCCTCCTCACAGCTCCTAATACAACAAATACCCCTCATTAATTGGGGGGGGGGGGAAGTGATGGTCCAGGAGGGGCTTCCTGCACATCCCACTGTTAATGCTACCAGTAGGGAAGTCACCCATTAAGGCTCTACCCTGACTGACCCACCGAGGCAGCCCTTTGCCAAGCTGGCCTTTAGCTAAAGCTGCTAAGAGGAGACTCAGAGAAATCCTAAATGACAGCTCGGGGAAGAGATTAGTTTCAGAAATAATTAAGTGCCTCTTCCTTATTTTTAGGTTTTGTTTTGTAATCGTTTTCAGGTATGTAATCAATTATTTAACCCTTTTGCTTTGCTAAAATAAGCTTTGGAATAAAGCTTAAAATGCAAGCCCTCATTTAGTATTACAGATGAAGTGTACAGGTGCCTCAGGCTGCGATTTGCAGAGGCTTTCATAGATTCATAGGAAGGTTTGCATGGGACCTTAAAGCTCATCCAGTTCCAACCCCTGCCATGGGCAGCAACACCTTCCACTGGAGCAGCGTGCTCCAAGCCCCATCCAACCTGGCCTTGAGCTCATCTCAGGTGGCTCCAGGAGGCAGCACATGGCATCCACAGGCATCCACATCGCAATCACTGCAGGCAGACTCCTCCAATCCTCCAGCTGCTTCAGTAATTAACTGCAATTTGAACTGAGCTCTGCCCCTCTCCTTTATGCTCTTATATTAATCACATCCTAAGGTTTTTCCTCCTTTTGTGACTGCAGTTGTGTGAGCAAGCCACAAATCCTACTAATTGCCAAGAAAAGGGCTCATTCGCCTCACACCTCATCCAGCTGGAGCAGCGCCAGGGCCAGCCCAGCCAAAAGGCACAGATATTCCAGGGTAGCATCCCAGATCCATGAGGCTGGACCCCGGAAAGGGTACAACCCTGGAGCTGCTGGGGAACTGAGCACTGGAAGGATGCAGCACACACAGGGCACTTTGCACAGCTCCCCATTTAAGCTTATTAGAACATTAAGAGCAGAACCCAGCTGGCTCTTGTGGCTGGTCACAGACTGGGTTCCTTCACCTTAGCACTAAACATGCTTGCACCACAGAGCCACCTCCTGCATCTCCACCCTCCCAGCCTCATTATTTGGTCATTTATCAGCTATTATTTACTATGGGAAGGGGAAAGCCCAGCTGTGCTTCTTGGTGCAACAGCAAGGGCTTTCCCTAGCCCCAACATGCCAAGGCAGGGCTGATGGTGATCAGGTCGTGATGATAAGCAGCAGCTTGGCTCCATAGAAACCCAGCTCTTCTAGGGCTGAGGGGGGAGCAGATTCACCCCCTGCATCAGGAAGTATTGAGGAGCTCCAGAGCAGGCAGAGCAAGGATAACACAGCAAACCCTGGCTCCAAAAGAGCATCTGCACCATCAGCACACATCAGGCACATGCAGGGCTGCAAGGGCCAGCTTAGGTGTGAGCATGGAGCCAGGCAGCTGTGCTGTGAAGTCCTTCCTGGACCTGGACCTGTATGGAGCATCATACTCCATACAGTATCATATGTATCACTGTATGGAGTATCATACTCCATACAGTATCATATTATCACTGTATGGAGTATCATACTCCATACAGTATCATATGTATCACTGTATGGAGTATCATACTCCATACAGTATCATATTATCACTGTATGGAGTATCATACTCCATACAGTATCATACTCCATGGATACTCAAGCTGGAAGGCCATTGAGAAACACACAGGATACTCATGGTGTAAGCATCCCTGCAGTCCAAGCCCTGCTCTAACATGGTTTATCCTGGGCTTCTTTTACTGGAGCAACGTTAAGCTACAGCCAGACCCTGGGTAACACATGGCTTAACATGTCCCTCGCCACGTTATCACCCCATGAGTTTGGATGGAGATGAATTACACTCCATCTGGAACAACAAAGGATGTCCAGGACACTGGGACATTTCTCCTGCAACCCCACCACCATTTCCCCCCTTCAACTCCAAACTGGAGCACCACAGCTTTGGGCACCAAACCCAGGACTGCTCAAACAGGACATTGAGTCTGCTCCAACTCAGCATCTCCATGGGAGAGGTTGGGGCTGGGGCAGCCATGAATGTCTGTCCTACAGTCTGTTCCTTCCTCCTCCCTGCAGCATCCTCCACTTGGAGCAGTAGACTGGAACAGTTTCACATTGGTATTTTTGGCAGTCTGTTTTAGGAGCTCACTGGTGTGTGGAGAGGAGAAAAGGACATCAAATGCCCCAAATAACCATCATGTGTTAAAGGACAGAACATTCTTGTACCTTTTCTCCGTGGAGAGCTGGAAAACCGAGCTTGGGAAGAGGTGCTGCAGAACATTCCCAAGTGATCAGATACAATATGCTCAACGTGGATGTACTGTATACCCATATCCCCAAATGCATGCTGAGAAGTTCAATGCAGACAGCATTTGCTGCATCCTGTGTACCAGCCCAGCACTTCCCATGGGAAGGCATTACCCACTGCTCCTCACAGTGCCTGGCTCTTGTTGGACACGACCCATTGCACTCCCTGTACAAAGTCCTATAGCAGAAGAGGAGCAAAATACCCTCATGCATTTCACATCCCCCCTGTGCCCCATGGTTGGAAGAGGCAGGCCATCACCAGCCTTGCTCTGAAGCCAAGGTGGCCATCTCAGCCCTGCCTGCACATTGGGAATGAGCTTACCAAGAGCCATGCACTGCCCACACCGATGCCATGCTGGGGTATGGGGTGGCCACATGCATGCACCCCTATACACAGCACTACCATAAAGCAAGCACAGAGTGCTCAGTGCTTGGCTTCACCATCTAACTGCTCCTCTGAGCACGCTCCAGTGCCTGCTGCACGGCTACCCCTGCCACAGAGGGCCTGGGCACTGCTGCAGCCCATCAGAGCATCCCTGCTGGGAGAAACAGACCCCAAAACCCCCGCAGCACCAGCACAGGAGCCTCCATAACCCCTTTTCCTGAGCTCCTGCAGGGCTTCCCTCCCTCCCTGCTCACACACACAGGCCCCCAGCGCTGCCTGCACGCATGGATACCCGCAGCCGCATCCTTCGCCCTCGCCTGCGACACGAATCCTGCTCCAGCACCACAGCACAGAGCGCTTCAAGGCAAAGAGCAGGACACCCACACCAGCTCCATCCTCCTTGCCCCAACTCTTCTCCCCCTGCTGCCAGCACACAGACAACCCAAAAGGGCCCTGGACGTGCAAAAAGGCCTTTTGGGGGGCAGTGGGGCAGGAGACCACTGGGCATTGCTGGGACATCCCTTCTCCCAGCCCACTGTGCTGCCTGGTCCTGTCTGATCATTCGGCCAAGCACAACAAACCCCCCCCATACACACACAGCCACCACGCTCCCGAGGATGCTCTCAATACTAGTGATGCTATGCTGGGGAAAGGGAAACTGGGGCTGCAAAGAATATGATATGGGGGTCATCTTGGGCACAGACAGAGAAGAGGGGTGATGAGGAGAGCACCCAGCAGCATCTCACCATCTTTGACCCCAGCATGGGGGGGCTTCTACAGCTTGTGCATCCCTAGGAGGAAGAGAGGGGACGGCAGCATCCGCAGCCCCGAGCCCTCCAGGTCCGGCATCCCACGGCCCTCACCGGTCCCCTATGGGTACCCCATACGCCCGGTACCTACCGCTGGTGACCCGCTGCAGCCCCAGCACGTCGTCGGGCCCGATGAGCGCTTTACGGCCCAGCTCCTCCTCGGTGCGCGCCGCCGCCGCCCCGGCCCCGCCGCTCTTCTTCACCTTCATGGCCCCGCCGCCGCCTCCGCCACCGGTGTGAGCGGCCCCGGCCCCTGTGCGCGCCGCCGCCGCCGCCAGCCCCGCCGCACCGGGAGGGGCATCGCCGCTCCGCCCCCGGCCCGGCCCCTCCGAGGGAGGAGAAGGCGCTTCCCCGTTAAACCCCGGCGCCGGGGGGCACAGAGCTCGGTCTCCGCTTGCCCTGTCTCTACATCCCTTGTCCCAAGCCCCTCTCCAGCTTTCCTGCAGCCCCTTTAGGCTCTGGAGCTGCTCTAAGGTCTCCCCTTCAAGAGCCTTCTCTTCTCCAGGCTGCCCCAGCCCAGCTCTCTCAGCCTGGCTCCAGAGCAGAGCTGCTCCAGCCCTCGCAGCATCTCCATGGCCTCGCTCCAGCAGCTCCACATCCCCCTTGTGCTGCTGCCCCAGAGCTGGATCAGGGCTGCAGGGGGGGGGGGGTCTCCCCAGAGTGCAGCAGAGGGGCAGGATCCCCTCCCTGAGCTGCTGCTCAAGCCCAGCATCCAGTGGGGGGGCTCTGGGCACAAGCACAAACTGAAGCCAGGTCATGGGGACCGATAACCCCAAGTCTTTCTCCTCAGGGCTGTTCAGTGACATCAGCCCCATAATCTCACACAGCCCCATAAGTGCCTCAGGCTAATATAGTGACCACACGAACCAGACCCCATTAAGATCAACTGCCCCACCACCCATCAACAAGATGGGCACCATTAACCACCCTCCAAAAGCTGAATCTTGTAACTGTCCCCCATAACAAGTGCTTTGGAGTAAATACCCCTAAGACAGGAGCCACACCCCATAAGTCAATAGTGGGGCTAAGGGGGCACACACACAGCTGAGATATTCACACAGCCCCACACCGGCACCCAGCACAACCGAGGTTCTGTCTTTATTTACAGAGCAGCTTGTTCCAAACAGAGCACAGGGCCCCTCCTCGCTGATCTCTGCCGATCCAGAGCATCTCCCACCCCTCAAAGCAGCCTCTTCCCACTCCTGCAGCTTGGCCATGGCAGGCCTAAGCCAAGCTGCTGCACCCAACCTTGAAGGGCACCTTCTTGCACCACCGGTCCATACCAACAGGTTCCATGAGGTAGGGACAGCCCCAACCCTAAGCCAGGTCACCAGGCCAATGGGCTCAGTCCATCTTGGTGGGCTCCTTCTTCTTCTGCCTGGTCTCCCGGATGATCTTGGCCAGGGAGAGGAGGATGGGGACAGCCATGGGCAGAAAGAGCGGGACGTAGATGGCAAATTTCTGGTCATCAGGGAAGTAAAGGAGATGGAGGAGAGATGGGTCAAAGAAGGCTCGCTCCGAGGAGGTGGCTGCCTCCTTGCTGGCCTGGAAGGCTGGGTGCAGATGGCCTGCGGCCAGCTTGTCCATGGCGCTCTGTGCTGAGGCCACTGCTCGGTACACCTGCATGGGAACACCACCAATGGTCAGGACCAGAGAAGCCCGGGCTCTCTCCCACAGCAGCACCCAGCCCTACCTCAGAGGCAACATCATCTTTGATGACGATGTTCCCAATCTTGTCCAGGAGCTGGGCCAGCGAGGTCAAGGTGGTGGAGACGGTGGCGATGTTCTCCACGGTGTGTGCCCAGAGCAGGCGGTCCAGCTCCCAGTCAGCCAGCCCCTCATTCCCAGGGCTCTCCAGCAGGAACTCTGGGGGCAGCTCTTCCCGAGATAACCCAAAGAGTAATCTGGGATAAAAGGGAAGGTTCCAGCCCACATCACAAGCCTGCAGACCCACGCGTGCTCCCTGCTCTTCCCTTCCCCTGCTTCATTCAGTCCTAGCAGGGCTCAACTGTGCCTAATGGCCTGGCTCCAACCCCATTGATTTCCACCTGTGCCATGGGAGCACACAGAGGCCTAGGGAGGGAAGAGACCATCCTCACCGGAGCTGGGCCAGGAAAACCTCCATCACTCGTGCCATGTCCACATCCACGTGCAGAGGGAGGGAAGCCTGGGGGGAAGCAGGAGCTTCCACATTGTAAACCTGTAGGAGAACGTGTCAGTGAGGCACCAGAGCCCTGGGGCTGGCAGGGCCACCAGCACTGCGAGCATCCCGTCACAGCAACCCCAATGGCCCCTTACCACGATGCCGCCCCAGCGGGGGCTGTGGAAGGCATTGGTGCTCACAGGGGCTCCATCCTTATCCTGGATGTACAGAGGAGAATGGGAGCGCTCCGGAACGTACAGCAGGAAGTTGAGCACGGGGTAGAGCGAGGCAGCGCTGGAGCCTGCAGTGGGACAGAGTCAAAGAACCCCCCTGGATGGTGGGGATGGTAAGAGAAGAACCCAGCCCTGCTCCTCCTTGCACAGCAAGGCACTGCTTGCTCGGTCACCCTCATTGCCATTGGGGTTGCAGAGCCTGGCCAGGAGCACAGTGCTCACCCAGCCGGGCCTCCACGGGGTTGATGACGTGTGGGAGGCTGTGAGCACTCAGGAGGAAGCTAGAGGACTCCTTGTCATAGCGCGGCGTCACTCCTAGGACAGCATAGTACAGGATCTGCAGGCACACAGCAAAGGCAGAGCAGCAGGTCCCAGGGCACCCAGGGACAGTGGGGCTGGGCTCTCCCCATCGCCTCTCCCAGCCCTCACCTGTGAATCAACAGAGAAGTTGGCCACCAAGCTCAGTCTGTCCAGGATGGGCTGCACGTAGCGGCTCACAGCATCCTCGATGGCCCAGTGCACATCGTGGGACTTGGGGTCGGGGTTCAGGAGGCTGAAGGTGATCTCGTACCCTGCCAAGGACACAGAGCCTGTGAGGCACCAGCACAGGCAGTGCCTGTGGATGCTGAGGGCAAAAGCAGTAGGAGCTGACACCATCCTTTAAGCTCCTACCCAAAGTGGGCTCATGGACCAGTGCTCCAGCACACAGCAAGGGCAAAGGGAAGACCCGAGGGTCTGTGACTGCAGAAGACACCCAGGGATGGTACAAGGAGAGCACAAATGGGATGTCCCCCACAGACAGAGCTCAGGGCGTGGGGCTGCGGGGTCACATCCATACCCAGGCTGGATTTCAAGCTCCTCCGGGCATCGGGGCCAGGCTGGCCATCGGGCACACGGTCTGAGAGGGCAGCAGTGATGGAGCTGGCAGTGAAGGACATCACCTGAGTGAGCTGCCGGAGGCGGGAGCGGAGGGCGGGCAGCGTCCCCACAGCCCTCACCAGGGCACTGCGGTGCTTCCCCACGTAGGCATTGATCCCCTGGGAAAAGGGCAGGGATGGGGGCTGGCTCCTGCTAACACAGTGGAGAACAGCACCGTGGTGCTTGCTGGGACAGCCTGGGGATGGATGCCTCCCTTTGAGGGGTGAAGCATGCAGAGGCTGGCACCACAGGGTGCTGCTCCCTACCTGAGGCAGGAGAGGGGAGGTTTCAGGAACCACATACATGGTCAGAGAGCCCAAGGAGGTGCCCTGCAGCGGGTGCAGAGCAGCGTCAGCCTCTGGGGAAGACAGAGGCGTTAGAAAGGTTGGGAATTCCACTCCAATCCCCATCCCACAGCCTCTGAAGCAGGCGGTTGCTCCCCCTGCCCCTCATCCTGGTACCTCGTGCAGTAGCCGCATCCAGCGCTGCCTCCTCCTGCGCCGTGGTGCTGCGATAGAGCATCTCATAGCAGGACGTGACACTGGTTCTCACTGACAGGGAGGGGGACAGAACCTGAGTGACTCCATTAATCCCAGTTCCCTGCTCCTTCATAGGACTAAAAAGGACAAGGGACAACCCCAGGATCCTTTGGGCACCAACCTCAGGTGAGTGACCCACCATGGCACATAGCCTCATCTGGGAGGGCAGCCCCACACCACCCAGGGCTCATCCCACCCGCCTTTAGCCCTATCCCTAGGGAAGGGAGCCGGTTTATTCCCTATGGCACCCTGGGCACGTTGCTGTCCCCATTCCTCCCCTGTACAGCACCGGGCACTGCTGGTGTGTGGGGACCCCGCATGGAAGGAAGGCCGAACCCCCCCCAGGCGGGCCGGTCGGCCCAGGGACACCCGCAAGCTCTCACCGTTCACCGGTATCTCCATCTCCTGCACGTCCCTGAACGGCAGCGGCCGCAGCAGGTCCCGGGGCAGCGACCCCGGCGCGAACACCACAGAGACGGGCACCGAGAGCTGGAACTGAGCGGCGGCAGCGTCAGCCCGAGCCGCAGCCCCGCGGAGCCCCGCTCCCGGCGCTCACTCACCGGCAGCCGGCCCAGCCCCGCGATGTCGCCGTAGGGCAGCGCGGCGCGGTACGTCTCGGTCGTTCTCCACCACAGCGGCAGCCCCAGCACCACGGCGATGGTCGCGAAGGACAGCGCGGCCCGACGGCCCCGCGCCCGCTCTGCGGGGACAGAGCTCAGCACCGGGTCCTGCGAGAGGGGCCGGGGCCGGGGCCGAACACAGCCATCGGGGATCGAGGATACCGGTACCTGCTTCATCCGCCGCCAGCACCGCCGCCGCCGCCGCCGCCGCCGCCATCTTCCCTTCCTGTCTCAGCCGACGGGGCGGTGCCTATGTCAAACCCAGCCATTCAGAGCTCCATTTCCTTAAAACAGCCAATGAGCGTGGAGATCGGGGAGCGGCGGCGTAGACAGGCAGGTAAAAAGACCAATCAGAGTGTGAAAGTGGGTCTGAGGAGGCGTGGTTTGGCGGCATGGCCGCTATGGGTGCTGCGGAGGGACAAGCGGTGCCCCTGTGGGCGTCTGAGCACCGCGGTTGCGAATGGGGCAGGAAACGGGGCAGCGGAGGGGCAGAGGCGTCCCACGGGATCTTCACCCCCCCCATAGCGAGCACCCCGTCACAGCCCTCGGGCTCCCATAGCCCCGCTGTGTGTGTGTGTGTGTGGGCTGAGACCGGGCACAGCTCATTGCACGTGTGAGCACAGCCCAGAGGGACGGGGCAGCCCGCGATGGGGCCGCGCACGGTGCCCCGGTGCCTCGCGGCGAGGGAGGAGGCGGCGCGGCGCTGTCTCTACCGTTTATTCGCTGTTAGGCTATTTGGTACACATGGGGTGCACAATGGCGAACACAACACAGGAGCCCCGAGGGCGGCAGCAACCGGGACTGCGAAGCTACGGCAGGGCAGGGGCACTCCCCCCCCCAAACCTCCCCTCCTGCCCCAACCCACGCGGCCTGGCCGGAGCCCCCCACACCAAAAAGGGGCACCCGGGTGTTTCCCTTCAAGGGGGCCTGGTAGAACCAAAGCCCCCCCCACCCCCATTTCATCTCTATGGGGCCGGTCCGTGGGGCACGCTCCCCTTCCCCTCCCCGCGTGGCGGCTCCCCTGGGTGGCTGGGGGGGAAGCGGGGTGTGAGCGGTGGCGGGGAGGGGGCCGCTGGGGTGCACGCAGGGGCTCAGTAAGCGTGGTTGGCCACGTACAGGGACTGCCCGGCGGCCCCCGAGTCGTCCCCGCTGCCCTCGTACTTGCCCAGCGCCGCCAGCCCATTCACCTGCAGGGAGAGGAGACATCAGTGACCGCCACGGGTCCCCCCAGCTCATAGGGACACAGCCCTTGGGGTCCCCTGTAACACCACAGCCCTTGGCCTCCTCCTCCCATGGGGTCAGAGCGCTTGGCATCCCCCATCTCATCAGGTGGAACCCGTCTTACCCCATGGGACACTGCTTTTGGCATCACTCTTCCCATAGGGACCCAGTTATCAATGTCCCAGGTCACCCATGGGGACACAGCCTTTGGCATCCCCATTTTCCCATGGGGACCAAACTCTCACTGTCCCCCACGGACACAACGCTGCATCCCCTCCATGGGGACCACAGCATCCCTTGTCCTACGGGGCACAGCCCTCGGTGTCTCCCATCACCCTCCCATCCCCTGTCCCAAGGGGACCGTTCCTGGTGCCACCCCATCACCTCTGCGCGCTTGACGAACTCCTCGGTGGCAGCGGTGGCGTTGTCCCTCTGCCCGCGCCAGGCGCTCAGCGCCGACGCCTGCAGCGCCCGCCCATAGGAGAAGGTGAGAGCCCATGGCCGCATCAGCGGGCACGTGTTGATGGCGTTGAGGTTGATGGAAGCCTCCTCCTCGCTCTGACCCCCGGACAGGAAGGTGACACCTGCAGACAGCGGGGTTATGGCTCACTATGAGGGGCTGCAGAGCATCCATCCCCCTTTTGGTCCCCACCATGTCCTGGTGCTGGTACCTGGCACTGCGGGGGGCACGGTGCGGCGCAGGGCAGTGACAGTGGCCATGGCGATCTCTTCAGGGCTGTACTTGGTGGGGCAGGAGTGCCCAGGGGTCACCATGTTGGGCTTCAGCAGGGTGCCCTCCAGGTAGACATGGTGGTCGCTCAGTGCTTTGTAGACAGCTGCCAGCACCTAGTGGGGACAGGCAGCATGGAGTCCCTCTGGTACAGCACAGCACAGCGTGGTACCTGCCTGCCCTGCTGCCCACCCCAACACTCACCTTCTCCGTCACGTACTGGCATCGCTTGAGGTCGTGGTCACCATCAGGCAGGATCTCTGGCTCCACGATGGGCACGATGCCGTTCTGCAAACACCATGCAGATGCCATCATGGATAACCCCATGGGGACCAATGACTGTACCCAGGGTGGGATGCTCAGCCCCAAGCCTCAATGCCCACCCTTTCCATGAATCCATGCCTGATCCCATGGGTGATGCCCACCCCATGGGGCAATGCCTGGTTCTGGGGGTCAGTGTCCATCCACATGCAGTGCTGCCTAGCCCATGGGTTGATGTCCAACTCCATGGGGTGATACCCAAGCACAGGGGCAATGCCGAGCCCCACGGATCTGTGGGGTCAACACCCATCCTATGGGTCAATGCCCATCCTGTGGGGCGATGCCTGGCCACAGACACATACCTGCTGGCAGATGCTGGCATAGCGGGCCAGGACATTGGCGTTCTCCATGATGGCGAGTGCAGAGGGGGTGTTGTCACTGATCTTCAGCACACAGCGCCACTTGGCAAAGTCAGCCCCATCCTTCTTGTACTGGGCACAACGCTCCGACAGCCCATCCAGACCTGCCAGGCAGCGTGTCAGCCCCACAGCCCCAAACCCCACAGCACCCATCCCATTACCTGCTGCACCTACCCTGCGTGGTGGTCTCGCCATCGGTCCCGGCTAGCGGCACAACGCCCTTGTCTACCTGTAGAGAGAAGGGGACAGCAGCGCTGAGCCCCACCAGCACCCTCCAAGCACCCCCAAAACCCACCGGACACCCCCCACACCTTGATGCCCACGACGATGCCCTTATCCTTGATCATCTGCACGAAGGGGGTTCCGTCGTCAGCCTTCTGGTACATGGTCTCATGGAAGAAGATGACCCCCCCAATGCATTTCTTCACCCTGCTGTCGGCGCTGAAGAGGATCTGGCGGTACAGCCGGCGGTTCTCCTCCGTGTTCTCCACCCCGATCTGGTTGAGGCGCTTCGCCATGCTCCCTGCGGGCACCCAGCACCCTCATCAGCCTCGGGTGCAATGGAGGAAGAAGGGGTGACGGGACGGCTTCCCCCCCCCCCCCAGCCAAAGCCACTGACCTACGGACTCATCAGCAGCCAAGATGCCCTTGCCCGGGGCCACGATGCGCAGCGCGATGTCCGACAGCTCCTTCTTCTGCTCGGCCGTCAGCGCGGGGTATTGGTGCGTCATGGTGGCGGCTGCGAGCACACGGGCACTGAGTCACGCACCGACGGGGCGGCACCTCCGTCTGACACCGGTAACGGGGGACCCCCCCCCCCCCCAACAACGAGGCGGTCGCGTTGCATCAGCAGGCGGCTGCCCTCACCCCCGGGCCTCGTGGATGCTCCCAGCCATTTTGCTGCCTGCTCGCCCGCCCCCAGCCCAGCCATCTTGAGGGAGCGCAGCACCACGGGGCAGCGACGGGACACGGGGGGGGAGCGGGGATGGAGACACCCCGGAGCCGGGGGTACCCCGCGGGGAACGGCGGCAGCGCGGGGATGGGGACACTGGGGAAGGGAGAGGCGGAAACGCGCCGGGAACGGCGCTACCTGGGAAGGGAGGGATGGACCCAAGGGGTGGCACTGCCTGAGATCTGCGGTACCCCGAGGTCTGGGGTACCCCGGGGATGGCGCCGTCCGGGCCCGGTGCGTTCCCAGCTGGGCGATGATCCCCAGCAGCACCGCCTGGGCTCGGGCTGCGCCAGCGCAAGGGCTGGCTCCGGGCTCCCCCCATCCAACAGCACCCCCCTGCCCGGGGTCCCTCCGCTCCGGAGCCCCCCCAACCCCTGCCCGATGGAGTCGCACGGATCCATCCCGTAGCCCCACTGCAGCCGGGTCCCACGGATGGGGTCTCCCCCCCCCGCCACCACCACCACCACCCCCGCTCTCCCGGTTCCCCCCCGTTACCGTGCAGGGCGGGCGGCGGCGAACGCGGACTGCGGGCTGCGCGCTCCGGCCCCGCGGTAAATGGGGCTGCGGTGCCGCAGAGCTACGTGACCGGCGGGGCGGCACCCGGCAGGACCGGCCCCCCGGCCCGCCGCCCCGCCCCCCCCCCCCCCCCCGCCGCCGCCCGCACACCCCCCCGCTGGCCACAACCCCCGTGATGGGGGCCCCGGGGCTACAACCCCGATGTGCCCCCCCCCCCGGTGCCGCTGTGGGATGCAGGCAGGGACCTTCCCCATCACCTCCGGAGCAGGGACCTCCGCAGCCCCCCTGTTATCGCTGTCAGCTACAGGTGGGGACCATCCCCTCATCACCCCAAAGGCAGGGACCCCCCTGTGCTCACCCATTACCACTGTCAGATACAGGCACGAAAATTCCCCCTCATCACCTCCAGGCCAAGAACTCCTCTGTACCCCATTTATTACCATTGTCACCTACAAGCAGGGACCTTCCCTTCAGCACCCCAAAGGCAGGGACCCCCCTGTTCCACCCTCCGGCTCGGGACCCCACTGTGTGCCATCTTACTATCAACTAGAAGCCTGCACCTCCGGACCAGGGACCCCACTGTCCCCCCCTACCCATAACCACCATCAGCTGTAGCAGGGTCCTTCCCCATCACCTCTGGACCAAAGACCCACCTGTGCCACCCCATTGAGACCCCAAGCCCCAGCAGCACAGGCCAGGGTGTGGGGGGGTTCTCAGCCCCCCCAAAGCCGCCGGGATACGGAGCAGGGACAATAGCAGCGTCCGGGCCGGCTGCCAGTGCCCGGCTCTGCTGAATCCCAGCCGTAAAAGGAGGGCTCATGCTTCCTGCATGGCCCTAATCCCGGGAATAGGAGCGCATCTCCCCCTGCATCCCAGCTCCAGCCAGCCTGGCATAGGGGGGGCTGCATCCCACCCCGTACCGAAGGGAGGGACTCAATGAGGAAGCAGCGAGCGCTGCTTCCCCGTGAACCATTTACACACCCAGTGAACAGAACGGCAGCCCTGAACACCTCCGTTTCCTGGGTGCAAGGGTGAATAAAGGTGCCAGCACCCTGGGTGTTGCGACACCCGGCCCAGACAAGGGCGCAGGGCTGCGGCAGAGGGCAGGGGAATGTCATATCCCCCCCCTCCAGGCATGGAGAAACGGGCCATTAAAAACCAGAGCACTTGTTGGAACGCTGCTATTTTGGGCTGTGACAAGGGAGGGAGGCGCTGCCTGGTCCCCCTGTGGTGACAAGGAGCATCCTTGGGGTCGGGAACACCGGGAGGGGCATCCCGCAGGAGATGCCCCGGTA